ATTCCCACGTCTGATTTGACATAACCGAGTCTATCTCATCTTTCATGGAAGACTCCCACTTGACTGAATCATCCACTTGCATTGCTTCATCATAGCACTCTGGTTAACCATTGTCAGTCAGCAACAAGTAGTGCAAAGAAGGAGAATACCGTTGGGTTGGTTTAGGAATTCTAGAGGAACGTCTCAGTTCTGGTGTGCCTGGTTCTTCTTGAACTGCTTCAGGATTGATCTGAACATTATTTCTAGAAATCTCCTCGAACTCAGCAAATTCCTTTGTTTCAGCTTCGGTATTGGAGCTACTTGATTCTACAGTTGATCTGTCTTTGTACATCACATTTTCATTGAAAATGACATCTCTGCTTCTGATGATCTTTCGATTTTCGTAGTCTCAAAATCGGTAACCGAACTCATCACCACCATAACCAACAAAGACGCATTTGTTGGACTTGGCATCAAGTTTACTTCTTTCAGCAGAATCTATGTGTACATAAGAAATACAACCAAACACTCTTAAGTGTGAAAGGTTTATTTCTTTCTTGCTCCAAACTTCCTCTGGTATTCTGTCATCCAAAGGAACTGAGGGCCCACGGTTGATCAGGTAAGCTGCAGTGTTGATAGCTTCGGCCCATAGAAATTTGGGCAATCCGGCATGTATCCTCATGCTTCTGGCACGTTCATTCAGAGTTATGTTCAAGTGCTCTGCTACGCCATTCTGTTGCGGTGTCATGGGAACTGCTGTCTTCATCTTGATCCCATTGTTTGCGCAGAAATCTCTGAATTTTCTATTTTTGTACTCTCCTCCATTATTAGACCTCAACCGCTTGACTTTCAAACCAGTCTCATTTTCCACCATGGCCTTCCATTTTCTGAAGGTATCAAAGACTTCTGATTTCTTCTTCAGAAAATAAACCCACACCTTCCTCGTAGAATCATCGATGAATGTGACATAATATAATGACCCTACAAGAGATGGAACTGGAGATGGTCCCCATACATCAGTATGAACCAACTCTAACTTTTCAGCCTTGGGTGTCTTACCAATTTTTGCAAAGCTGACTTTCTTTTGTTTGCCAAAGATGCAATCCTCGCATAGTCCGACATCTACATTCTTTAGATCCGACAGCTTCCCTTTTGACAAAAGTGTCTTCATCCCTTTCTCGCTCATATGGCCAAGCCTTTGGTGCCATAGGTTTGATTTTCCATCAGCATCTGCTGCAGTAATGATATTCTCTAAGTTTGAGGTTACATAGAGAGTACCAGTCTTCTTACCACGAGCAATGACGAGTGCTCCTTTGGTAATCTTCCATTCACAGCCTGAAAAGGTTGTACTATATCCTTCTCCATCAAGCTGTCCAACAGAAATCAAATTCCTTTTGAGGCCAGGAATATGTCTCACTCCTTTCAGCTTCCAGGTGGTCTGGTTTGGCAACTTTAATCGGATGTCTCCTTTTCTGACGATCTTCAAGGTTTCATCATCGGCTAGTTGAACCTTCCCAAAATCACCACTACATAGTTCTCTATGATTTCTCGGCATGGGGTGGAGTGGAAAGATGCCCCTGAATCCAAGATCCATGATTCAATCGGACTTTTTACGCTTAGAATCATGGCATCACCTGTCTCCTCTGTCACGTTGGCAGAATCCTGTGCGCCGGTATTTTTCTTCGGTGCTCGGCAATCTCTTTTAAAGTGAACCTTCTTGCCACAATTATAACAGGTATAATCTTTCTTTCCCGTTCTTGATTTTAAAGCTGAAAGGAATATGTCTCACTCCTTTTCCGATGATCTTCAAGGTTTCATCATCGGCTAGATGAACCTTCCCAAAATCACCACTGACATAGTTCTCTATGATTTCTCGGCATGGGGTGGAGTGGAAATATGCCTCTGTATCCAAGATCCATGATTCAATCGGACTGTTTACGCTTAGAATCATGGCATCACCTGTCTCCTCAGTCACGTTGGTAGAATCCTGTACGCCAGTATTATTCTTTGGTGCTCGGTAATCTCTTTTAAAGTGACCCTTCTTGCCACAATTATAACAGGTATAATCTTTCTTTCCCATTCTTAATTTTCCCCTTCTGGATTTGGATCTGCCATGATTTGAATTTCTTTATGAAGTTCTCCCTCTAGACTCCGTGTGCAAGGCTGAGGAGGTTGATGCTTCACCCGATTCTTTCCGTCGAATTTCTTCGCTCAGTACCAGATCCTGAACATCGTTGAATTTCAATTTACTGTTTCCCGACGAGCTGCTAACTGTTGTAACAATAGCATTCCAACTGTCTTGTAGAGATGATAAGAGAATTAAAGCTTGAACTTCATCATCAAATTCAATTTCCACGGAACACAACTGAGTTGTAATTGTGTTGAGTTCATTTAGGTGTTGAGCCACTGATGCCCCTTCTGCCATCCACAAATTGAATAATCGCCTCATCAAATGAACTTTGTTTGAGGCCGATGGCTTCTCATACATACTGGAGAGAGCCGACATAAGACCCACCGTGGTCTTTTCCTTTGCTATGTTGAAAGCAACATTGCGGGATAACGTCAGTCGGATAACTCCGAGGGCTTGTCTGTCGAGAACAACACAGTCTTCATTCTTCATGCCCTCTGGTTGCTTTCCTAAGAGGGGTTGATATAGATTTTTCTGGTACAGAAAATCTTCGATCTGCATCTTTCAAAAGCCAAAGTCCGCACCATCGAACTTTTCAATTTTCACCTTCCCTTCGTCTGCAGCCATCACTCTCACTCGAATCTGGCTTCTTTGGATCGTTTCTGACAATTTTCACGAACCGCCGTGTATTAGAACACCTCCGTCGACAAATTCGTATAGTTGACAAAATTTTTACTATTCACAAAATTCACTATTCATGTGAATAGTAATGAATAGTAACCTTGCAAAAAATTGAAAAAATTGACAAAATTCACAACCAAGAGCTCTGATACTAGTTGTTGGGAAATAAACCCGAGTACCAAATAATTTCCCTATAATCATATTAGAGAGAATATAAAATAAAAGCGGAAAAATAATACCCGAAATTGATAACGGAGTTCAGCCAATTTTGCTTACGTCTTCAGACTGCTGCAGATCTTTTACTAAGAGAGAAAATTTACAGGTGTTTACAAAACACTCACTACTCACAAGAAAGCTCTCTAGTATTGGAAGAAAGAAATTTGATTTTGGGATGGTTTTAAAGCTAAATGGGCTAGGGTATTTATAGTTGAACCTTAGGGATTAATATTGTAAATACCCTAAAGTGTGCAATATGAAATTAAGCCAAAAACCATTTTCAACAAAAATAAATGTAGCCCCCTAATTTGGACCATGTGCCAGCCCCTTTTTTTGACTTTACAGCTCACAGTCTTTAGACACTGAGGGTGCGTTTGGTTCACGGAATGTAAGATTACCAGTGGGAATGTAAGATTACCAGGGAATAAGATTACTGGGAATGTTGTATTTTGTGTTTGGTTGGCTTAGCAGGAATGCAAGATTACCGTGTTTGGTTAAAGGAATAAAAGATTATTGGAATGTATATTTGATCAAATTGTCCTTATTATATATTCGTTTTTTAATAAGTTGAAAAATATTTATATATTTCCTTTAAAAAAATTAAATTCATAAAATTTATATAATTTTTTTTACAAAATTGAAAATATAAAAAAGGTTTAATGAAAGGGTAAAATTTTATTTTAACCCCTGAACTTCATATAAAATTTTAATTATAGAATTTTTTATAAATCGAAAATAGCTTAAGGATAAATTTGTAATTTAACCTTCGTAGAATTTTTATTATTCAATGACAGAAGAAGAATATTTTTGAAAGAAAAAAAAATAAGGGCATTTTAGTCCAAAACGCTGATAATCCAACAATACCTAAGGAAAGAGAGGTAATGACAATCCCGGTAATATACCCCAAAAAAATTACTATTGGTAATCTTACATTATCGGGAATGGGATTCCCGGGCTAACCAAACGGGGGAATATAGATTCCATTCCCATGGGAATCCCACATTCCCATGGGAATCCCACATTCCCCCATCCAAACACCCCCTGAAGGAATCTTATAAACCCAACAAAAAGACTTTTACCTGGCACCGCAATCAAACTGGTAGATGAACGGAAGATTAAGATTTGATAGCACATATGATAGCTTGATAGTTTAGGGTTGGAGGAAAAAAAAAGGGAATGAAAGCATTAAAGTATCGGCTGTAAAAGGGTTTTTGTTTACAATTAAGATAAAATGGTAAAATTATTCAATTGGTTCTTAAAGTTCTAATAATTTATAATTTAAACTCTACAGTTTACCATATATTCAATTTAGTATGTACATTCACTAATATTTAAACTATAAAAAATTAAACGAGCTCATAAACGAGCTTGTTCGTGAACATAAACGAGCTGAAGACACCTTTGTTCTTGTTCATTCGTTTATTAAAAGAATATAAAAATTTTGTTCATACTCGTTTATTTAGCTTAATAAACGAATGTTATATGAACGATTCACAAACAGTTCACCAAACACTATGTTCATCTAGATCCCTACTTTCAACACAAAAATGATTACATTATTTTTAAAAAAAAACTTTTTAAAGATAGAAATTTTATTTTAGTATTATTAGTTTGGGTAAATTACAAGTTTAATAATTAAATAATCAGTTTTGGTCTGCTTTAGTACCTAAACTTCTATTTTTTTAAAATCATACATGCATTTAGTTTTTGTTTTATTTAGCACCCTCCGTTAAAAACTTGACACGTTAAGTACCTAAACTATCAATTTTGGTCTGTTTTAGTAATTAAACTTAAAAAAAATCAAAACTTAACGTTAAGTTTTTAACTATGGTATTAAAATGAAATAAAAACTTAACATTAGATATGATTTTAAAAAAAATTAAAAGTTTAGATATTAATATAGATCAAAATTAGTACTAAACGCTTGATTTACCCTACTACTTAACAAGATTCTTTGCCACTTTATTTAGTAAGTTCTTGTTTTCGTGTTGTTCAAAAACTGTGAGAAAAAGTTTTAAAAAAAAGTTATAATTACGCACAGTAGACAAATCACGGTCTCATCCCATACCACTGCCGGCAACCGCCGTTTATCTTTACAAATCGCGGCCTTACGTCGACGATGAGAGTCAACTGGGACGATTCTCCTGAAGAACCGCAACAGCCGAAGCAAGATTCTAACCTCAATTTCGACTTTCTTTCCCTTGTTTCCAAGCCCAAGGTAAACTCACTCCCTAGGGTTAAAAATTAAAATGTTCGCGTAAAATTTGAAAGAAAAGAAAATTCCGAAACCATATGTGTTCTGAATTGCTTGTGTAAATACAGGATTATTATAAGATATTGGAAGTTGATTCCGATGCTACGGAGGATGCAATTCGCTCCAATTTTATACGTCTCGCGCTGGTTCGATTTTTTCTTTTTTGAAAAAGCTAAATTGATTTCATATATATACATACTCATTTTTGTTTAGTAGTTTGAACCTTGAGGTTGTTTCTGCAGAAATGGCATCCGGATAAGCAAAATGACGATGGGAATAGCGCCACTTCAAGATTTCAAGAGATAAACGAGGCTTACCAGGGTAACTGTCCTACTTTCGCTCTCGTTTCTTCTTTTCGGATTATGTATTCGCCTGCATTTTGAGTAAATTTATTCTGTCTTTGAGTTTTTTTCCCATTTACTTCATTCTTATACGGGTCTTCTGCATTCGTTTCATAATTTTGATGTTGCATTTTTTTGTTTAATCATTTGTGTTAGGGAACCATTTAATTTATGCTATATATCTTCCATAATCTGCATTTTCTTTGAAATATTATGTTCACTTGTGCCTTTCTGTTGTTGATGTGTTCATTATATTGTTAATTCAAAAAAAGAAAAAACTTATCCCGAAAGAGAAACAAATGAGGATGATAAGCAACATTAGCATCAGAAGAGGAGTTACGTCATTATAAGTTAATTTCTAATCATAAGGTGTTGCATCTTGTTAATTTTAATTTGCTCTTGATTGATCTTTGCTTTTAGTTTACAAATTCATGCCTTACCCTTCATATGGATTTATTTGAAAGAATACGGTGTTTGCTCATATGTCTAGTATGCTCATTGCATATCCATGAGCAATGATTTTAAATTAAATATAATTGGACTTGCTGCAAATATCTTCATGATTCATATTTAGTTTCAGGTAAACATTTTTCTTTATTTCCATGCATTTCAATGAGGATGCACAATAACTTACTCTTGTGGAACGTGTTTGCAGTATATGCTTGCTTGCTACCATACCAAATGTGAACTGTGTTCTCTCCCCTCCCCTACCCCCTCAAAAAAAATTGTTTAACCGTGCTGCTACAATGTGTCATTTATAACTGTAGTTTATGAAATTATGTTGTGTGTTTAAAGTTGCCACACTGTTAATCCCATGCATTGCTATTTCTTAATGAGTTAAAGTTTTGCATAGTTGAGATAGTAGCTAGCAAATCTATGATAATGTTCTGTCGCTTCTGTCTACTGGCATGAATTGGCAAATTGAGTTTTTATGCTCAATGATGGTTGTAGACTTGAAGCTATAGTTGAACTGCCAACATTTGGTTAAAAAATGATGAAGTACTAAGAATATTGTTATGCATGTGAAAATGAATTTGAACTTAACCATTTGGTAGTTTGCCTTCATTTAACAGTTCTCATTGATCCAGTCAAAAGGAACGAGTATGACAAGATGGGGATATTGTACACATATGACTATGACATAAATGTAAGAATTTCTTCCATCATACGTTGAAGTATTTATACATATACTTTCATATGCCTGGATGGCTTAGATTTTAAGTTCTAATTCACTGGCTGCAGGAGTACCTTAACCGTTACAAAGGCCTTATATTAACATGTAATGGTCTTGGGGTTAGGCAGTCGATTTGGTAATTCCCTTCTGTTTATTGTCACAATGCTCAAACTAGAGGGACAGATTTGTTGGTATTACAAACAACGCTATTGAGGATGAGAACAAGCTTGATACCTTAGATAACGGTTGTGTATATGAAGTAGAGAAATTCAAATAATTTGTAACATCTTATGCTTGTCTGACAAATGAGGGTACGACCAAATGTCCAATGCTTGCTAGCAGCTTGTTAATTTACTAGCGTTATAGTCCTTATTTACTCTTTAGGCTGGACCTTATGAGCAAATATTTATGGAACCAATTTACTATTACTAGCTACTTAATGCGATGGCGATGGCTTTTTCTATTTTACTTGCTTGGTAACTTGTTAGATCAAGTATTAATATTAGCCTAGTGAGTGGCTTAAATTTACCTATTTCAGGTGAGAAGTAACTTGTTAACTTAAACTTAACCCAATGTAGAGATGATGTTTACATATTTTCTAGCATAATCAACATTTACTGACATTAAATTTGAATATATTTTGAGCAATATGTATTGGGAAATCAGGGCGAGTGATATAGAATTGATTTTGAATTGCATTAATTTCTAAAATGGCAAAAGCAACCTAAATGATGAGGACCATGTAGAAATGAAAGTTACAACTGCTCTAAATGTCCTTATCAATAGGTGCAAGACCATTTTATAATTAGTTAACAGCTTGTTGAAATATTCTGTGCCTTTTTAATACAAATCTATGCAAATTAATAGAAGGCATTTATATAAATTGATGGTTATAAATTGAATTGAATCGGACAAATTTTGTATTTTTTTCTATACAAATGTATACAGGGTATTTACACACAATGATGTTATGAATATTATTAAACTAGTTTTCTTACCTCTATATTAAAATATATTCTAATATCCGTATTTAATTTTTAATTCTTAAATAATTAAATTATAATGATGGTTTTTATATCTAGTTATAGAAATTTAATCAATTCTGAATGTTTTAAAAAATGAAAACCAAGGCTTTGTATCACACTCCTTTCTCGTATTTGTCTCCGAATACGACAAGGCTTATTATCACACTCCTTTTAAGAATGAAACTGCCTAAAATATTGTTTCTTTAAAATTTATTCAATTTAACTTTTTTTCACCATGATTTTTTAATTGCATAAAATTAAAATATAATAATTTAATATGCAAATCAAGTTCGATTTCAAGAAGCAATTTGACAATTCAACACTGTTTCATATTAAAAATGAAACTGCCTAAAACTGTTTGAATTGAAATTAATCTTTACTCTAATAAAATATAACTTTATTAAATCATAAAATAAAAATCTAGATTTAGAACCATATTTTACTTAATAAAATTCACATATGGAATTTTATCATAACATGTTTTCAAAAACCACTTTTATAACTATACATATATTACTTACTAAATTTCACACATGTTTTAAACGTTATAAATATATAAGAGCTTTTCCAACCCATTTCAAAATATAATCATATTAATATATTGTAGACACTTATTATACATATACATGCCAACTGGAAATCAGATAAATAGTAGGATGTCATTATTATTACCAGTAAGTAGTCTTTGATGATTGATGTCAAGCTTATATTTTTACTCCACTCGTTTTCTTTCACCTACGTGTGAATCCATCACATGCTAAATATACACTTGGTGAGGTCTTTTATAACTTTAAAATAAATAAGTCAAAACGTATGTATATAACAAAGTATAAAATATAATACAAATATCATTTTACAACATATAATATAAAATTGATTTTCAAACCTTTTTCCTTATATTGTATCCTGTAAAAATATCTTTTCACAAATATAAGGCATATAATGACAGATCAAAATATTCCGTAAAAAATTAGCTTTCATTCAAACTATATAACATGTATAAGAATTGTTTCATATATAAGCCATACAATGTCAAATCAAATTATGTAGTAAACAATTTTCTTCCTTTTAAATCAATTAACATGCACTGTTCACGTATTCAAATCATAGCTCAATATATATTAGATGAGAATACAAGTTACATGAGTCTCATCGAATGTACGCAATATGCACTCGAAAGTGTCTCGTAGATAAATTGCACTCGAAAGTGCCTCGTAGATAATTTGCACCATAGGTGCCATATATAATCTACACAAATGTCCTCGTAAAATGTACAAATATGTACCATATCATATAATCACTCCACCTTATGGCATGCCAATTGTACCTACGACACTCAATGCACATACAATAGGCTTTTTATATCAATATCATATGCTTTTCACTTATAAGTATCCACAGATGCTATCATATCACAATATATGATATCAAAATACATTGGACAATTCATACCTGAAATCATTCATAACCCTTTAGCAAAATATGGTATAAAATGTATTGTGCAAGCCATACCCAAAATCATCCAATAAACATTTAGTAAAATATCATATAAAAATGTATTGGATAATTCATACACAAAATCATATGAATACCATTTTGTAAAATAGTATGAAAGTAAATCAAAATACAATTTAAATACTTTTCTTTCCAAAGCATTCAAGGTTAACTTATCACAAGTCTTCCTCATATCATATATATAAAACAAGTGAGAATGCACTCACCTGGTAATGCCTCACTTGCAAACCGTACTTTTGTGTTTTTTCCTTAGCTTTTATTTCGATTCAATCTTGGTTCAATCACGATCTATATGTGCACTATTAACGTAACACGCATAATTCAAAGTACACATTAGTACTATTTTAACATAGGCACACTTTAGCAAATAATTCCAGAAAAATTCCTTCGATAATTATTCGATAGATCAATGACAACTTTAACAATCCCAAAATAACACCCCAAGTCCTTTTCTATTCGTATCCATCAATAATTCATATGACATTTTCAAATTCCATATTTCAACCATAAAAATGAATTCTTTTAAAATTCATCTCAACTTTTCCAAAATATTAAAACTAGCCACTTGCCATTTAACTTTAATTCAAACTTCTAATAGCAAAATTAACAAACATTTAATTCAAACATAGTACATCAACAATTACACAATTGCCATTTAAATTTCTAGTTTCTCAACATTTGTGATTTGGTCCTCGTTCTTGTATAAATTAGTCCAAATAATATTCTAAGGCTTGTAGAATATTTAAATATCATTTCTAAGCTTAGAGAAATTTTTACATAATTTTCCCTAATTTTCTCCAAATGGTCGAATGCTTCAAAGTAACTTGGGCATTATTTTTCAACTTGATTCAATCATGAATTCAACCTCTAAACATCATTTCCAAGCACATACAATTAATCTCATATCAAAATCAATCGAAATTCAACTTCATACTAAAACCCTAATTTGGCCAAATTGAAATTTAATCTTTTCCAAGTATTTTCAATCATCATACAAGCATGGAAATGATTTTATAACATCAACTATGTCAAACTCTAACGTTAAATCATGAAAATCCAACCTACCCTTCATCCACCTTATTAATGAAACTAAGGATTCAAGCAAGAAAAACATGAATAATTGGTACCAAATGATAGAGAAATTCGAGTAGATTAATTTCCTATTTCATGCTTTCATCCAAATTCCAAGTAATTTAGCTTGAAAATAAAAAAAATCTTTACGTTGGTTATGGAGGTCATGACTTGGAGCTTGAAGATAAGGGAAAATTATAATGAAATTTCTAATAAAATATCTAATACACTCGTCTTAATTAACTGAAATGAATTAAAATTTTATTTAATGGGAAATGGTAACTACCATTATAAATTCATGACAATTACATGCCACATGTAAATATCACCATCCTTACATCATTCTAAGTCAAAAATGAACAAATATATTCATATTTTCCAACTTTTCCTTTGTAATTTTAAAAAATTTTACTATCTTGTCATTTTAATCCAAAAGGTCACGATTTAACATGGAAAATCAACTTAAATCCAATGGTCCATGTTAAATTCTACTAATTTAAAATATGGAAATGACATTATTAATATTTTTCTTATCATCCTTAAAAAATTTATGAATTTTCGATTCGATATGATTATTCGAATATTCTATCGAACTTTATTGCTTTATAACCTTTAATGCAGATTCTAGATCAAAATCTAATAGAAACATAAATATCATTCTTGAGGGTAAACTATTCATTTACGAAATAAAATTTCTTTTTAGGAAAATTACCACTTTGGCCTTTGAACTTTTCCAAAATTTATACTTTGGCCACTAAACTTTCAAAAATTATGTTTTGGTCACTATAAGTTTTGGGTATTACATCCTCCCTTTAAGAAAATTTGTCCTCGAATTTTCAACACGTACATGATTCAAAAAGGTGAGAAAACTACTTTTTCATATCTTCTCATTTTTCAGGTTACTTCGTCGACTTTATGATTTCACTAAAGAACTTTAATAAGTGAAACTGCTTTATTCTTTAGTTCTATGACTCCATGAAATATTTCCTGGTTCTTCTTCGTATACCAAATCCTGCTGAATCTCAATTTTCTTCCGATGTGATGACATGTGAATGATATGATCGATACTTCATGAGCATTAACACATGAAGTACATTGTGAAGTTGTTAAGTCATCGGATCAACTCTTTTCATTTTCTCATATGGTCTAATAAATCTCGGACTAAATTTTCCTTTTCTTCCAAATCACATAACATTTTTTTCCAAGATGATAATTTGAGAAATAATTTATCACTCACTTGATATTCTATTTTCTTTCTTTTTTAATCCGAGTAAGATTTCTGTCGATCATTTGTAATGTTAAGATTATCTTGTAAAAATTTCACTTTTTCTTCCACTCCTTTTAATCAGGCCAGGGCTAACTATGTCTTGATCCTTGAGTTCATACTAATTCAAAGGCGTTTGGCATTTTCTTCCATATAAGGCTTCACAAGGAGTCATTTTGATACTTGGTTGATAACTGTTATTGTAAGCAAACTCTGCTAAGGGTAAGTACTTCTCTACAAACTTTTAAACTAAAACACACATACTATTAGGATATTTTCCCAAAATATGAATAACTTACTCTAATTGTTCATCTATCTAAGGATGAAAAACAAATGCCAAAGTTAAATCAAGTTCTCAAGGATTTATACAAAGATTTCTCTATTTTGAAATGGATTATTAGATCACTATCAAATTCTATTGAGACAAATACTTCATTTAGTTAAATAGTTTCTTTAATGTACAACTTAGCGTACTTATCCATAGAATAATCTATTTGAATAGGGATGAAGTGCGTTAACTTAATCAATCTATTGACAATCACTCTAATTGAATTCTTTTTGTTGGGTCTTAAAGGAAATCTTTTCCCC